TTGTTGTATTTTTTACCCCTCTAAAATTGGAGTTTTCAATTTTTACTCAGTTTTCTTAATATCTCAGAAGATTTCCACATTATTGATTGAGCTTTGATAAAGGTTTTCTGAAATACTTTTGTGGTTCTTTTGTTTTGGTTTATTTTATTAATGGGTGCCATGTCATTTTGTTAAACTGCAGTTTTCTAAGCGTTGYGTTTGGTTATGTCACATTTGCTGCTTGGTTTTTGATATTTTGTTTTATCTTTTCTTATGACAGTTTCTAAAGAATTACATTGTTTTCTAGTTTTGGTGGGTGTTTTTCATCAGTGAATCTAAAGATTACAAGGGTCTCTGCAACAATTAAATAAATTATATATAAGTATATTTTTAAGTCAAAATGGTGAAAATATTTTACAAGAGGAACTTGAGCTGTAATCGAATTCAAAAAAGTAAAATGAAATTCTGCACCATTATGATCAGTCTCATCTGGGCTTCTCACTCTCTGCCCTCCTCCAACAGTGGCCTCCAGCTCGGCCGAGCACGACCTCCACTCCAACTGGGTCTTGAGGGTCCCACGGGTCACTGATGATTCCAAACAGACAGCAGCTCCAGTCTGTGCCAATGAAAAAGTCTCCTCAAAAAAGAAGAAAAAAGCCAGTGGGTCTACAAGCAGCAGAATGCAGCTGCAGAGGAACCCGATCCACCTGCCCAAAGTGGTGGAGAGTGCGTTCCAGACGCTGCGCTTCAAACCCAAATTAAAAAAGCAGTGAAGCTCCGATGGGACATTTGACACTACAGCGGCGCTGCCACGTTGCTAACAGAACTCAKACTGTGATGTTTTAGTCAGGCACTGCAAACAAAACATCTTTCCAAAAAAGCAAAAGCAATAGTTGAAATCTTCTAAGGTCTTTCGAGAGGTTATAAACAATGACCATCTAACCTGTTGCACAATCGCAATTCCAATGAAGTTTTATTGTATCTTCATTGTATCTAAAACATAACAGAATATGATGTGCAAATCCTTTTCAATCTATATTAATTTAATTGCACTACAAAGGCAAGATATTTCATGTCAAAACAAATACATTTTCTTTTTGTTTGTTTTTTTTGCAAATATTCACTCATTTTGAATTTGATACCTGCCGCATTCCAAAAAAGCTGGGACAGGGTCATGCTTATCACTGCTAAACCACTTTTAACAACATTCAATACGTGTTTGGGAACTGAGGACACTACTTGTTGAAGCTTTGTAGTTGAGACTTTTTTTTCCCATTCTTCCTTGACGTACAACTTCAGAAGCTAATGTGCCGTACATTTTCAAYGGGAGACAGGTCTGGACTGCAGGCTGGCCAGTCTATTATTACCTGAACTCCTTTATAATGAAGGCACGCTGTTGTAATACATGCAGAATGTAGTTGGAATTCTCTTGCTGAAGGACACCCCCACCCACCCAAAAGTTTGAAATGTGGACTCCCCACAGGACCACTTTATGTCAGTGCATCTCAGATGAGCTTGGTCTCAGAGAAGTCAGTGGTGTTTCTGGGTGTTGTTGATATATGGCTTTGCGTGGTTGTTTTAACTTGCTCTTGTGGATGTGGAGATGAACTGTGTTCACTGACAATGGTTTTCTAAAGTGTTCCTGAGTGCGTGTGGTAATAACCATTAAAGATTTATGGGGTCTTTTGTCGTGTCACCTGAGGGATCAAAGGTCATGGGCAATACAATGCTGGTTTCGGCCTTGCCGCTTGCAGAGATTTGTCCAGATCCTCTGAATCTTTTGATGTATTATGGTAGGTAGATGATGAAATTCCTAAATTCCGTTCCAATCATGACACTCACCTGTTTCCATTTAACCAGTTTACCAGTGGAATGTTCCAAACAGGTGTTTTTTGAGCATTCCTCAACTTTCCCAGTCTTTTGTTGCCTCTGTCCCAGCCTTTTCAGAACATGTTGCAGGCATCAAATTCAAAATGAGTGAACGTTTGCAAATTAATTAATTAATTAATTAAAAATAAAAAACAATAAAGTTTATCCATTTGAACATTAAATATCTTGTCTTTATATTCACTTGAATGTAGGTTGAAATTAATTTGAAAATCATAGTTTTTTGTTTTACACAACATCCCAACTTCATTGGAATTGGGGTTGTAAGTCAATCTAAGCACATAAATTTTAACAAGACATGCAAAACATTAATTTATAGATTTTTACAATGATGTCAATTTTTCACTTCCCCATTAATCACAATGAATCTTATGGTTACTTGCCATCATCAGTAGCAACTATCTGTAGCATTTGACTTTTTTAAGACAAAAGGTTATGGCCCCACTTACAATATCTGTAAGATTGTGAATCTACCAAAATTAAAGTCGGTCTACAAACTAAGGTGGTTCAAAGAGTTGTCTACAACAGGTATGATATTGTTTATACACATTTAACAGTATTTTTCAAAGTGGGTGCCACAGCCTCTTTGGGGGGCCACTAGAGGGCGCTTGGGGGTATTCAGCTAGCTGAAGGGAAGGTGAGAGATGTGAGAGAGGTGAAAGATGCAAAAATTAAAAAAAATAATCTAGTAAAAGTTTTGAAATAGAAATATGTTTTATAATATTTTGAAATTTCATTCAATTTCATTCATTGAAATGTCATTTCAGGTTTATTACAGTACACTATTTTGCCAAAAGTATTGTCTCACCTGCCTTGACTCATGTGAGCATAAGTGACCTCCCATTCCTAATCCACAGGGTTCAGTATGACGTTGGTCCACCCTTTGCAGCTACAACTTCAACTTTTCTGGGAATGCTGTCCACAAGGTTTAGGAGTGTGTTTATGAGGATTTATGACCATTCTTCCAGAAGCACATTTGTGAGGCCACATACTGATGTTGGACAAGAAGGTCTGGCTCAGTCTCTACTCTAATTAATCCCAAATGTGTTGTATCAGGTTGAGGTCAGGACTCTGTGCAGGCCAGTGAAGTTCATCAGACTCTGCCATCCATGTCTATATTGACTTTGCTTTGTGCACTGTCATGTTGGAAGAGGAAGGGGCCAGCTCCAAACTGTTCCCACAAAGTTAGGAGCATGGAATTGTCCAAAATGTCTTGGTATACTGAAGCATTTTGAGTTCCTTTCACTGGAACTAAGGGGCCAAGCCCACATCCTGAAAAACCCCACACCTTAATCCCCCCCTCCAAACTTTAACACTTGGTACAATGCAGTCAGACATGTACCACTCACCTGGCAACCACCAAACCCAGACTCTGCCATCAGAYTGCCAGATGGAGAAGTGCGATTCATCACTCCAGAGAATGCACCTCCACTGAGTCCGGTGGCGGCGTGCTTTACACCACTGCATCTGATGCTTTGCATTGCACTTGGATGCAGTTGCTCGACCATGGAAACCTTTTCCATGAAGCTCTCTGTTCACTGTTCTCAAGCTAATCTGAAGGCCACATGAAAGTTTGAAGGTCTATAGAGATTGACTCTGCAGAAAGTTGGCAACCTCTTCGCACTATGACACTTCAGCATCCGCTGACCCCGCTCTGTCAKTTTACATGGCCTACCACATTGCAGCTGAGTTGCTGTCATTCCCAAACACATCCATTTTCTTATAATACAGCTGACAGTTGGCTGTGGAATATTTAGGAGTGAGGAAATTTCATGATTGGATTTGTTGCACAGGTGGCATCCTATTCYACCTGGAATTCACTGAGCTCCTGAGAGCGACCCACTCTTTCACAAGTGTTTGTAAAAACWGTCTGCATGCCTAGGTGCTTAATTTTATACACCTGCGGCCATGAAAGTGATTAGAACACCTGATTCAGATCATTTGGATGGGTGAGCAAATACTTTTGGCAATATATTGTATTTTGTAGCATTGTTTGTGGGTTTCCAAGGGGAGTTCATGACTAGAAGTTAATGCTGTTTAKGGGACTATGGCAAGCTTGGGAACGATCCCTTCAACATTTAAGTCCACTAAATACTTTTGAATTCCAACATTTTYTACATTGAGGGTCAACAATAGATAATTCACTCCATGAAGCTTCGATGACTCAGGAAAAAACAGAACCCTGAAAATRAAGAAGCTCAATAGGTACATTCACTTTGTTAATAAAAACTTTCCTGCTTTTATAAATCAGTGCTTTTTCAGCTGCTCACATAACTCACTTTATTTTAATGTACTTTACAGCAGTAAGATAACTTGGTTGGCTTTAAAATTGTGAAACATAAAGAAAAAATAACTTTCATTCTGACATCTCAAGATTGATTTGACCAGTTAGTTAATAGAATTTAATAGAATTTCTTTCAAGATGCCTTTTGAGGTGGACTTTCAGGAAAGTTCAACATTGGGATGGATATGGATTTTTGGCGGATTTACACTTTAAAGTTCAGGTCAGGGAGCTTTGCATTCCTTCGAGGCATCAAAATACAACTGTGGAAAGCAACAACGGCTCTATTCAAGCTCTGAATCAAAGATTGCTAAATGAATATCTGATTCAGCGGTGAGATTCAGCGAGGTCAACTTCAAATTCTGAGCTGACTGTGGAGCTCTGAGCTAAACGTCATGCCACTTATCCTGAACTTCAAGAGTCAATACTCCAAGTTACAAAATCCTTAACACTATAGTGATGCCAATGTAACCTAAATGTATTTAACCATGTTTTCACATCGGTAGTTCTTAATTAAGTCACAGCTAGTACTTCTGTTTTTCATTACAGCTTAAAAGAGAACAGGTCTTATGTCTAAAAAAAAAGCATGGTGGAAAAAGGTTTTGTCATCTGGGAACTGATGGGAAAAATATTTTAACAAAAGTTAACAAAAATATGTTTTACAGTGTTTGTTTTTATCACTTTTTAAAAAAGAAAGGCAGTTTGTTTAATCCAGTTTTCTTTAAAAGGGTGTCAAATTAAAGTCACTATTCACATATGTTTGTTACAAACTGTTATTTTTTTTTTTTTTACAAATCAATATGAACCAAACTGGTTATTTCTTTTCGGCTTTGGCCTTAGGACTGAAGAAAGATGACATGGGCTTCATGCCGCTTTTGTCCACCTTTGCTAGAGTTTTCTGAGCAGCCGTCATCTTCTTGGGTGGCTAAAAGAGAAAAAAATGAAGGAGAACAAAAAAGGAAACATAAGTCAAAGACCTTGCCCAGAGGCAGCAGGAAGCGTATGACGTACGATGAACTTGAACATGATAAATATTGAACAATTTTCACAAGATATGCCCTTGTTTTTTTTCCATGTTTTTGCTCTACACAACACAGCTTAAAGAAAGCAGTAAACAGACAAAGAAGCACAAAAAAGAAGGAAGTCTGCTCTGATCATGGTGACATGAAATTTACTAAAAGCTTCTATTTACACAAATAAAACAAGCATCTAGTCGGTGCAGGCTGCTCTGCGTACACTCACTTTCCGCGCAAAGTCTGCACTGTTGAATTTGGTGTAGTCTTCTTCAGCCTCCACCGGTTTGTCTGAAAGTTTCCGCTTCTGCCAAACGAGGAAGTAAGAGATGCTTTTCATGACGAAAGGCAACCAGACACAAAGGAACCCTCGCCAGCAGCACAACAAACCTCAAACCAAAACCACACAAGCATTGATTGATTTCTCTTTAAAAGGGATGTTAGTGAGTTGGAGGGACACAAAGAAGCAGCTTTAGCTTCATGCAGAACAGAGAAGTGAGTTTACCACACTGAATGTGCTCGAACATACCTTAGATGGAGGCTCTGTTTCCTTTGGACTTTTGAGCTCTGATAACCTGCGGGGTGAAAAAGGCCTGTTTAATCTGAAAGGTCACTATAGTGCAGAGATAAATTTTTTTTTTTTTTTAATTATTTAACTTACCCTAAGTGTCCGAGGAGCGCTTTGCTCAGGTCTGCGCTGATGTAGTCTGATATTAAGCCATGAGCGTAGCGTAGGTAGTCTTCTGTGCCATAAAGTAGCAATAAAATACTAATTAATTCTTCAAATAAATTGTGATTTGGGAGAGTTGAGGAAATGATTGGATGATTAAACAAAACACATAAATAAAAGTTAATACCACTACTGCCATCTACTGGTTTTTATCCATATCTGCTGATAAAAATTGGCTTCAAATGTTGCAGATTTAAAAATTTGCGAGCAAAGTATGAAACAGAAATTGCATTTTTCAGAAAGAGAGAAATGATCAGAAGCATTGTTACCTTCCTGATTATCTGACTCGGACTTGACTCGGACATACGTTGTGGATTTCACTCCTTCTCCAACACAGACGTTTTTCTTCTTCAAGGCAACAACAGTCCTCTCCACCTGCAACAAAAAACAATATAAATAAAATATGAGGATTTGCACAGTTTTTCCTGATGTTTCTGTTCTGCCTTTTAGTTTAAAATTCTACACCTTTTTTTTCAACCAGTCCATGGTTCGATCCTGACTGTATCGATGAAACTTCTGGCTTCCCACCTCTGAACACAACAGCAAAAAGCAGCAATGAAACAATCAATCAATCACCTTTATTTAACCAGGTAGAGCCCGTTGAGATTGAGATCTCTTTTACAAGGGTGACCTGGTCAAGTGGTCAGCAGCACGTCACATAGTAATTTACAAAGCATTTGCATTGATCAAAAAGAAAATAAGGAAAAAAAAAACTACAATCACAATATGTACATGTTGACAGTTCAGAACCATCAGGATAAGACAGAATTCTATAGGTATTTACGATATTTGGTAGACTTGAAAAGAAATTTAGGTGAGAAAAAATAAATAGATAAATAAAAACAGACCGACATCGTTTGAGTAGATACAAACAAAGCACCTAACTTCATGTTGCAGCTGATTGCTATTGAACAAAATAAATAAAACTTCACCTTTCTCCTCTGCAATGTGGTGCAAGCTGGCGAGAGAACGTGTGCAGCTGAGCAACCTGGAGCACGCTGGGAAGTCCTCATCTTTTACAACTTGATCCACAGGCTGGAACTTCCCCTGAGCAGAATAAAAACAGATAAAATACTATTAAAATTCTTATTTGTTGAATTTGTTAATTAGTCATTAAATTAAAAATATTTAAGTCAACTTCAGCAGCTAATGTTAGCAAAATTACTGTGAGCAAAGTGTGACCCTATCTTGTCAGCAGTTTTGATCTTCTTTAAACAAACAATATGACACATTTTTAGAGCCAAGCTGCACGTTTGTGCTCCCAGAGTTTAAGGAACAAAGGCTACATTCACACACTGCAGGCAAAAGTGACATAAACCGGAGTTTTTGTGACCTATCAGACTTTTTAATGATAGTCTCAATGTGCTAAATTGCTTTTCTTTTTTCTCAAACCTGACCCAGGTCTTTTTCACATGGTACTAAATTGTATACATGTACGATGTTTGTCAAAGCAACTGCAGTCATGTCGCATTAATTTCTTTCACTACTTACAGCATTCATATAGGTGTATACAGGTCGATCCAGATATTTATCTTACAAACGTCATGCTTGGAACTTTACACATGTAAGGCTACAGAACACAAGTCCAGTTGCTTTGTCTTTTTTAAACTTTCTATATTTGTCATGTCTTGGATGACTCCAATATACATATGATATTAACAGTATCATATGCATGTGACATCGATATTCTATTATGATGGGATCGATAACTGAGCAGTAGCCGCTCCTGTTCCAAAACTTCAATTCTGCATTGGAGTAGGTGGGAAGCAGCCAGATCAAATGTAAACATTTAACAAAACAAGCATGGTAGATAATATACTGTAGTTTGCAAACTTCAGAATTGATCCACATGCATAAATGTGTAGCACAGGGGTGCCCAACCAGTCGATCGCGATCGACCAGTAGCTCGTTGGCTGGTTCCCGGTAGCTCACGGAGCGCAACCTTCCTCTAACAGCTGAGAGCCGGCTCGTCAGCTGAGAGCAACAGTTGCGCTCCAGCCCAGGACTCATGTCCGCTCGCTGAGCTCTCCGGCAGAAGCGGTGGAGGTGGGAGGCGGGAGGAGTTTACATTCCAGCCTTGAACACGCTCCCTCCGACCTCCCCAGCACAGCTGACGAGCCGGCTGTGCTCACAGACGTAGTCTCGTGAGTTTTGGGTGCGGTGAAACAGCACTCCGAACACGGCCTCGCGAGACTTTAGGGTCATGTGTTCACAACAAAGCAGCGAGGCAGGAAAAAAATTAACGAAAGACAGCTAACAAGCAAATAAAAACTCATTATTTTCACCTGGAGTGGGAAGAGGACTCATTTGTAATTGAGCGCTGCCTTGGCTTGTCCAAAAAGGATAACGTGGAACTGCATTTCTTTCAAAACAATGCACAAATGCTATGAGATGGATTCCCCCTCCTAAGCTAAGGTAAGGCTGCTAATGCAGCCCCGTACCTGATAATGCAGCCCCGTACCTGCCTCAACACAAAAAAACACTGCAGAAAACATCTTTCAG